AATTGACTTTATATGCAATTAGAACAGCTTTATCAGATTAAATCTAAAAAATCTGAAAAAAATATATGTTAAAATATATGATATTATCTTCATTTAATATAAAAATAAAAAATATTGTAAATTATTATTTATATAATTAATTAGATTTATAAGTATAATTATTTTTATATTAATACAAAAATTTTTAAAAAATATATTATTTAAAATTATATTAATTTATTTTAATAAAAAATATATAAATTTTAAAATAAAATATATTATTTAATAATATTTAGAAAAATATTAAATATCAAATAATTTTAGAAAAAAATAAAATAAGAATTGTTATTAATTATTAAATTTATAAAATTATAATATATAACTTATTTTAATTAAATAAAATAAATAGAATATCTTTTTAATAAATAAAAATTATTTGATATTTGGAATTTTCTTATCAAAAACTATTAAATAATATATTTTTTATATTTAAAATTTATATAAAATTCTTTGTAATTTAAAGTATATGTATTTGATGTAATTAAGTATAATATATAATATTATAATAATTAAAATATATAATATTATTAAATCAAAAAATTAGACAATTAAATAATTACTATTATTATTATTATTTAACAAAATTAAATAATTTGATTGAATTCTAAGCAAAATTGTTTGCTTTGATAATATTATATATTTTACTTTTAACTTTAAATTTATATCTAATTTTAACTAAAATTATATATAACTATTGTAATAAATTAAGAATAAAGTATATAATATTATCAATCAAAAATTTTTGCTTGAAAACCAAATTGCTCAATTTTTAAAAACCAAGCAATTTGATTGATTCTTGAGTGAAAATTTTTTGATTTGATAATGTCACATAATCTACCTTTAAAAGAAAATCAAATTAAAATAAAATTGAATGATTTTTTTGAATAATAATTATAAGAATTAAATAATTTGGATCTTTTTTGATAATAATTATAAAAAAGAATTAAGTATAAAATCAAAGTATAGAATATAATATTAAATTTTGTCATTAATTATTTATATATCCTACTAGATTTCATTTTAATCTGTTACAATTATAATTAAGAATGGAACAGGAATCATGTGACAGTCACTTTTTTCGTCGTGGCTAGGATATTATGATATTCCGCTCATCGATAGTACCGATCGTCAGGGTTCGGATTTTCCGGCAAAACAGATCCGACACAAGAATGGAAAAATACAAGAAATGCGAAAAATACGAGAAACAGGTGCCAGAGTCTAGCTTGGAGTATTAATTAAAAACCTCGGTGAGGCAATTTCATATATGATTTGTAATTCAGCCTAACCCTAATTCTAAACTAACATTCTAATGTTAATTAATATTACAGTAGAATTTTCCGAGATCAACAAAACTTCTTACGTGCGTTACAAAAGGTGCGCAAAATGCATGGGGCATCATTTAACAAATAAAAAATCAAAATAAGCAATATTTATAATCACCAATTTTTTGTTGTTCGCTATATATATTTTGAATTAGGAAGTAAATCTGTTAAATGGTAGTCAGTTTGGGTGAGGTTATGTGATTTCTACAAGTTGTATCTATACCACGAATTTTGTATTCATAATAATCAAGACAGCCCTGCACATAGCATATATAAACCGGATCAGCACAACCCGGTTCTAATCTCTAGTCGAGAGATTTATATTCTACAATGCGCGGAATACAAGTGAAACTCGCTAAGCCGGGGATTAGTAAAAATCTAAGTCTTCGGTTTATCAAAACTTCGGCTTATCGAGTTTCACTTGTGATTGGAAAAATTGATACTTGATTATTTAGACCGCGTTCTAAATTATTTCATTTTATAAACAGTTTGATTTAATTGGCGCGTGATTTATAATAAATAACATGTCTACAAAATCACATGATCAATAAAAATACAGTAAATACATGTACATCTATCCAACTTCCTAAATTCTAATTTTATGCAGTAGTTTTTTTCTCAGCCTCAATTATTTTTAACATCTCACGCGCTTTACGACTCTTTGATGATTTAAACATTTCTCTAGCCTTAACAGTATCAATCTGAAATCCATGTTCACCGTTCCACAGAATAGTACCAAACAAAAATAATGCGTTCTTTTCGGATGCTTTTACAGCCATCTCTAAATACTTTATACCATTTTCCCGATCATATCTTTCACCCTTTAGGCATAAATCCGCATATAAATATTGAGCCATGGGAGCAAATTCACTAAAACTGCTAACTGGTAATTTTTCTGCTGCTTCAGACAAGTAAACCAAAGCCTTGAATTCATCTTTGGTCACGCCATGATGTCCTTCGTATAGCAGTTTGCCAGCATAGTATTTGGCTAAATTTGCTTCTTTGGCGTCACTTTGAGCGTATAGTTCTAATCTCTCTATTGCCTCTTTGTAGTTCTTGTTGGTAAGGGCCATAGTGACATCTTTCCAAGCTGGCCGAGTATGTGGTTTGACAGGCTCATCTTCATTGATTTGGGCTTTAAAATCAAATTTTTCTAAATAAAGAATAATCATTATCAGTATAACTATATCCATCTAATATTCAAGTCAATATTAAAGTGAAATTTAATAAGTAATAACATACTAATTTCTGAAAGTGTAGTCGATAGTGAAGTGTTAGAACCGTTCCCTTGAAAGGGTGATTTATATTTCTTACAAAGCCCATGCAATTCACAAGATATCTGATACATGGTGGGGCGACGATGGAAAGCTTCGACCCAACTCCATTTCATTATCTCTTCGTATTCTGGTATAATATCGTTCGGGATCGGTGATGGACGCTCGCCATTTTTAATCATGTCGGGAACATTAATATCAATTTCGATTTGGTAAAATGGCTCTTTTCTTGCTGCAATTTCCCACATTACTATTCCAAAACTTTAGAGAGCAATATTGTTAAGCTAAGAACAGTAGTAATCATATCATAAAAAATTAATACAATATTGTTCTTACCCATATACATCCATTTCTTTAGAGTAAGGAACACAGGGGTTCTTTAATTTTTCGGGCGTAGTCCATCTATTTTGGAAAAATTAAAGTTCAATTTACCGCTTTTAAAAATTAAATCAAAGTTTCATTGAGATGATTTGCTTTACCTAATACTCTTCATTTGGCCCGTTACTGATGTCGTTATGTCGTCAAAGAAGCGTGCCATACCAAAATTGCTAAGTTTCACATTTAAATGTTCGTCTAATAATACATTCGCACTATATTTAAATAATATCGGTATGATAATATCAGTATCGATATGATGTTATATTAATCTGGTTGATATATTATCTTTCAAATTACCTTTTAACATCATGATGAAAAATATCATTTTCATGGCAAAATTTGAGAGCAGCTGCGATACCTTCTGCGAACTTTAATTTTTGTTCCCATAGAATCTCTATGTCTGAACGAAGATACTTTTCGAGATCATAATTCGCGGCCCATCTAGTCACCACATATAACTCTTCGTCTTTTTTCATTAAACCTTGACTGACGAATTTTAAATGTTAAATTGTGATTACTTATTTGAAATAAAATAATACGTGTACTTACAAGTTCTCTATATTTTCACAGGCACTTAGTTCTTTTAAAATCATTGCTTGTCGCTCAGCATGAACATAATCAATATTTTTTTGTCGCTCAGCTTGAACATTATCAACATTATCCCTAGTCGGCACTTTATATACAGCTACCGCGACACACCCGTCGAACAACATTTTTTTAATATTTTTATTTTTCCCTTTGATTTCCGTATCATCACCATCATCGATAACTCTTGACTGATCAATATATATCCTCGATCTTCCGAATTTAGCGCCTTTTGTTAACATTGCTAGCTGAGCAAGAACTTTTTCGGTATCAGAACCTAATTTTTCTACTGTATCCTTTACGCTGATAACTTTTTCGATGTTAGAATCTATTTCGTCCATTTTACCCTTCATGCAGGTAACTTTTTTGTTTGTATCAAGAATACAATCTAGCTGTAGTTCCTGAATTGCTGCATCTAATCGTCGAGCCAGATCGTCATGGTATTCTAACATCTATAAATTGATAGTAAATTAGATAAATTTAATTAGCATTTATACATGCAAAATTCTAATATTGTATATATATGCTATCAAACCTACATCTTTCGATCCTAGAAAGGATTTAAATCTTTTTAAAGTTCTCTGACTAAAAGTCCCTGGCTTAATCAAATCTCTAATATACTTAACAGCTTCTTCTAAAATCTGTTTATAGTTTTGATATGAAACTTGGATCGCAAGGCTTGCATCTTTTGTTGGATGATTTTCTTTTATTCGTATCGTCGCTTTTTGAATTCTTCCCGATAATTTCTTACAGAGTTCTTTATGACGTTGAGCTGACTCTACCATTTCTATAATTTGATTTGCTAGTTTACAAGCAGCTGCTGCAAACGGTAGCATTTCACCAATAGTTTCACCAACAGTGATGGTAGCCTTAAGAGTTGTAATGGCTATTTCACCGATATGTGACTGTCTGTTGGGTAAGCTGGTAACCTCTCTAGTAACTTCCGAAGTAACCTCCATAGTAACCTCCGAAGTAACCTCCATAGTAACCTCCGAAGTAACTTCCGAGTTCATGTTGAAAGCTTTAAAGTGTATAATAAAGAAAAAAGAAATTATTGATTCGAAGATAATTATTATTCGAAAAGAAAAGTATGGTTATTGAATTTTTTTTATGCGAAATTTATTCGATAATTATGTTCTTTTACCATCCATTAACGAAAAAAAGTATTTATCTTGACATTAAATTAAAATCTACAATATTAGAATG